ACCTGCTTTGGTGGACGGAATGACCAACCTTACAGACAATCCCCTTCCTTACCGGCCCGTGCAACAGTGGCAACTGTAATTGATGAGATTAAGAAAAATCGTGTGTTTCTTCTCAATCCGGCAGTTTTAAAAAACCCCACAGACAGACATTGGAATCGATCCACTCTGCTTGGAGAGAGAGACCAGAAAACCGTATGAAACGATACACATGGCCGTGGATATGGTCAGGGTATTTATTCATATATAATTTTCACAATGTAGTTAATAATGAGAATAACACTTATTCATACACGCGAGCATAACTCTTCCTGGGAGCACTCCGCGAGAGTTGCTAGGGGTTAGAGAAACACTGCCAAAGTTTCCTAAAAAGATCTCTATAGTTAATAATTGAAAAAAAGCAGGCAGAGTGCTTCATCAAAACCAAGTGTCTTCCACGAAGGCCGATTTTGGAGGCCTCCATTCCAGTTGAGTCACGGTCGCGAAGGGCAGAAATGATTATACAAAAAGTGGATTAATGGAAAGAAAATAATACAGAAAGCATCGGTCATGACATCAATCAGAATTTCGCTCTCCTCACTACGCGGCTCCAAGTATGGTAAGACAAGAATAATTAAAAGATATAATATGATAATTAATATGTTGAAAAGAGTATATAGCTGAGTACATTAATACTAGAATACTATATCCAATTAAATCACTTTTTTAGTTATAACTATTAGATTCACACGTTTTCTCGCCTCTCACCTAGAATCTCACTGAAACATCAGAAACGAGAACGGACGAAGCCTATTCTGATAAGACATAATCGAGACCGATGAAGAACAACATATATGAGATATAGTGAGAAACACTCGCCTGCTTTTTTTTCAGAAAACAAAGAGACTATAGGAAAAATACTGTTGGCAAGTGTTCTCCTAAGACTCCTGAGCAGTTACTGCTCGCGGACGTGCATCCAGGATAGAGTTAATGCTCATTAGAGGGTGTATGAAGTTACGTGTCTCATTCTTACATTATTGAATACGTTGTTGTAGGAAATAATTGGGTATAATTAGAATGATGGATAAAATACCCCTGACCAATATCACGCCCACTGTTTCTACGCGCGTATGTTTCATACGGGTTTCTGAGGTCTCTCTCTCCAAGCAAGAGTGGAGTCGATTCCAATGTCTGTCTGTGGAGGTTTTAAAACGGTGCGCGGATTGAGAAGAAACCACAGCTTTTTCTTAATCTCAATCAATTTACAGTTGTCCCACTTGCTTCAGCGGTCGGGCCGGT